CCCCCCCCCCCCCCCGGTGTTCCCATCCCCAGCTGAGCCCCAGACAGAGAAGCTTCCAGGGGCTCTCATGGCCTCCCGCAGAGATGACCAGGAAGCGCCTGCCCACAGCTGAGGTCCAGGAGCAGGGGGAGGCCTCGAACTCGCCATACAGAAGAAGACCCCACCCTTGGGACCTGCCTCAGACACTTCTCTGTGCCAGGAAGGGAGGGCGACCATGAGGGACCACATACCAGGACACTCACCGTGACCTCATACTTGACCTTGCTGCCCACATCCCGCTCAGACCGCATGGCACTTTCACCCCGCACCACGCCGGAGAAGAAGAGCTGCTGGGGAATGGCCACCCTGGAGGAGAGGGGTCAAATGGGGACTGCGGAGGCCTGAGGCCTGATGGAGGGTCAGGAGGCAGAGCCCAGGCCTGGGCGTGGGAGTGGCAACGCCTGCCCCTCCAGCGCAGGTGCCCACCGGGGCCGGGCTTACCCCGTAATGGACAGTGGCAGCTCAATGAAGACATTGGCCCGGGCAGAGACGGGGTGCAGCTCCTGCTCGCTGATCCTGGTGTGTGGGCAAAGGCAGGAGTGGGCACGGGCACCACCTCAAGGGTGAGTCCCTTCTAGGTAGACATCAATTCCACTGCCCCCAACCTTACCCACGCCGGGCCCAGCAGGCTTACGTGGACAATAGCAGCTCCACCTCCAGCTCTGTGGTCTCAATGGTGATTCCTGAGGTGCTGAGGATGAGGTAGAAGGCGATCTAGGCCGATGGTGGAGTGGGATTAGAGTCAAGGGAAGCCAGGAACTTGAGGAGGGGTCAGGGGTTAGAGGTCACTCAGATAGGGATAAGGGCAGATGTGCCAACCTGGGCATCTCTCTTCATGGGGTTCCCCAGCTCACACTCAACACGGGAGGCATTCTCATTGGACAGGCACAGGGGCTTCTCCTGGAGTGGGGAGAGGAGAGGTCAGTTTGGGTTAATGCAGACCCCCAAGACCATGCCCCCCGCCCCGGTCCTCACCGCAGGATCCAGGGCCCGCACTCCTGAGTAGTGCAGAGAGGCAGGGAGGCTGACCAGCAGCTGGGCTTCATGGGCATCGTCCCCATCAGCCTGGGGCTGTGCTGGGTCCGAGGGAAAATTGGTGACCTTCAGCTCCAGGCCGATGAATGGCTGCCCACTCAGTGCAAACAGGGCTGTTGTCCCATCCACATCCCTAGAGGGTCAGATCCCACTCACTCTAAGATCAGAAAATCTCCCCCTGCCTCGCCCACTCCTGCCTCCCTCCCCCAGTGAACGCCGCTGGCCTCCACTCCCTGAGCCTCTGCTCCCACCAGTCCAAGCCTCAGGTCCTCCCCATGTTCCAGAGATCCAGAATGGGAGCCGGGGGCCTTCGTTCTGATCCCAGCTCCACCACTGACTCCTCATCTTGGGCAAGTAACCTCTGAACCGCTCTAGGCCTCTGTTCTCCATCTATGCAGTGGGACTAGTAATAATTCCTACCTCACAGGGTTGGGAAGGACTGCTAGTCCTTGCACAGTAGCCTCTCTGCCCCATCACTGACCCTCATCTGCAGTCTTCTGAGTCATCAGCAGGTCTCCCCCAGCCTGCCAGCCTCCCGCTGCAGGCTCAGCCCCTCCCTCTGCCTGGCCCTCCTGAAGGGGCTTCCTTCCGTTCCTTGAACTCTTGCCTGCCCACCCCACCTGCCCCCTTGCCCCCTCACATGGGCAGAGGCTGGAACTCCGTGTCGCTGACCCGGGCACAGAAGCGGGCGTGGACCAGCTGCAGATTGCTCTGACAGATCTTATCTTCACCACAGCCTTGCTTCAGGAAGTGGACCTGGGGAGAGATTTTTTCTTTTTTTGTTTTGTTTTCTTTTGTTTGTTTTATTGATTTTAGAGAGAGGAAGAGAGAGAGAGAGAAAGAGAGAGAGAGAGAGAAAGAGGTTGCCTCCTGCAGGTGCCCCAACCAGGCATTGATTTTAGAGAGAGGGAGAGAGAGAGAGAGAAAGAGAGAGAGAGAGAGAAAGAGGTTGCCTCCTGCAGGTGCCCCAACCAGGCATCAAACCCGCAACCTGGGTATATGCCCTGACCAGGAATTGAACCCGCCACCTTTTTGTGTACAAGATGACGCTCCAGCCAACTGAGCACATTGGCCAGGGCTGGGAAGAGATTTGAGGAGAGGGTCATTCCTAGGGGACAAGAAAGGGTGCAAATGTGTCACCAAGGCATATGGTGGGGTCGAGCATCACAGGATTACACAACCTGGGTTCAACTCCCAGATCTGCTGCTTGCTGCCTGTGTGGTATTGAGCTGGTCAGCTAACCACGCTGAGCTGTGCCCTCATCAGTACAATGATGGGAGTACTGTGATGCCGCAGTAGAGACTAGCAGGCTGGTCCACTGCAAGACCCTCTCTCCCCAGCCTTCCTTGCAGGTAACTGAGTTCCAGATTCGGAAGGTGAAGAGAAAGTGAAGAGTGCCACTTCCAGACTGCCCATGAGAACCATACGCGGAGCTTTGTGCTCGCCCTCCCGGCTGAGCAGGATGGAGGTGACCTAAGGGCCTTGGAAGCCACACTTGAAAATGGCAGACCCACATCAGCCAGGGCCCCTGAATGACCCATAGAATCAAAGAGCGCTGCTCCCTCTGACTAGGAACACATGACCCTTTGGGCCATTTCCCACTCAGGTCTAGTTGTTACAGCACCTGAGACATGAGGAACTGCTGGGAAACACGTGAAGAAACTCTGCAAGCTATGGGCGAGTGTCACTGATGAGGGGCTATGATCACGGCTCCTCCCAGCAACTTTTTCTGGCTAAATCAGAACCCATGCTCACCTCTGCTCGGTGGGTGCTGGGCTGGTGGGCATTGAGGATGGGGGCCACTGGGGGCAGCCCCTGGCCAGGAACCTGTCGCCGAAGCCGAGGGGTCTGCAGACTATAGGACAGGGTCACCACAATGGCCCGAAGCTTGTCTTTGACATTCTCCTGGAAAGGGGAAAGATGAAATGAATACAAGAACAATCCCCAGGCCATAGCCTTGACCAAAGCCCCACCCAGACCTAGGACAAATTCTGAAACGTGGAAAGAAGTTTAGGGAGATGAAGGAGAAAAGTGGAGAGCTGAGCAGGAAGGGAGAGCGACTAGGATGGAAAAGGGAAGAGACCCAGGATTTAGGGCTTTGAGGACCAGATGTGACAATGGACCCTGCCTTCTCCATCTCCAGGGAGTACAGAACTCGGCAGGAGACATAAGAAGGCAACAGGTGAGGAGGAGGTCAGCCCGTAAGGGAGGCTTCCCAGAAGTCCAGATCTCAGGACAAGGGTGCGTGTGTTAGGGAAGAAGCTAAGAGGGATCCAGGAGAAGAGATCATGCCATGACCATGACCCTCAGTGGCCAAGGGGTCAGTGTCCACCTGTAACTGAAACATGGTGTCTCCGCAGACTCGGTCATGCTGGTGTTTCAGCCTCACGGTGCCCGAGGCCTGGTGCTTAGGGTCATCTGGGCCACGGCTCAGGAAGGTCACACGGGGAACCTGGCCCCGGAGCCTTCGGTCTGTGTCCCCGTCTAGCACATAATTCAGGGCTTTGGCAAGTGGGGAGAGGAGAGGAGACAGTGAGCTAGGGAACTGCTTCAATCGGACCCTGTTCCCAGGGGCCCAGCTCTCCACCTTGGAGTGACCCAACCGGAAACCCAAAGCGGTGGGAGGTGGGAAGGGGACCTCACTCACCCACAGTAGGGCTGTAGCTGCTGGGAGTTGCCATGTAGCTGAAACAGACTCTTATGTCCACACTGTGGGGGGCAAAGGGTAGCTGATGGGCCAAGGCCCCACCCCCACCCTGCCCACTCCAGACCCAGCCTCAGCCCCCAGTGCCAAACTAGGCAGAGAAATGGAGAAGGGAGAGGGGCCTGGAGGCCCTGAAGGTCCCCACCCAGCCTCCCTCCCTTTGGATCCCGCCTCACCAGACCAAGTGGCCGCCAGCACAGTTGGGCTGTTCTAGGTCAATGGCTCGTGGATCAATGATGACCTCGTGGGAGACGTGGAGGACAGGCCTGGCCCTGGGGAATGGGGAGTTGAGGGCACAAAGAACATGAGAAGATCAGGCTGGGAAATGGGAGGGGGCTCTTCAGCATCAGATTTGGGGTGAGTGGGGCTTATGTCCTCAGGAAGGGAGAAGACAGGAGCGCACCTGAAGAGCACAGCAGTGTCGGCCAGGGAGCCCACCAGCAGGTCAGGGTAATGGTTCCCATCCACGTCCAGGCCGCCCGACAGAGAGTACCCGAAGCTCTTCAGGCTCACGGCCTCGCCCTCCAGCACCTGCAGGCCCTGACTGTCAGCCAGCACCCCGCCTCCCCTCCTCCCCTGCCCTCCGTTGCTATGCCCCTTATGGCACCCACACCCACTCCCTCATTCAAACAAGCCCCTCACCTGGGAAGGTTTGATGACAACCCCCAGGCTGCTCCCGTGGTAGATGAAGACTTTCCCATCCCCATCAAAGGGAGCGCCCACTGCGATATCTGTGCGAGCAGAAAAGGCAGTCAGACTGTGGGGCGGGGTGACGGGGTCCAGGCCCCCGCGTTCCCTCCGTCACTCAGTTCCATACCATATGTGTTCTATTTCATTGAGAAGCCACTGAGCCCCAGGCACCTTACACACCTCACAGCTCATTTTTTAAATATATTTTTATTGATCTCAGGGAGGGAGAGAAAGACAGAAACATCAATGATGAGAGAGAATCATTGATCGGCTGCCTCCTGCACACCCCGCACTGGGGATCGAGCCTACAACCCAGGCATGTATGCCAATCTGGAATCAAGCTGTGACCTCCTGGCTCATAGGTCAAGGCTCAACCGCTAAGCCACACCGGTCGGGCCTCATTTTTTAAACCTCTCAGCTACTCCCTGCAAATATTACTAGCTCAGAAACGTTAGGTAACTTGCCCAAAGTCATAAAGCTGGTAAAGGATAACGTTCAGGTGTGAGCCCATGTGGCTTCTCTCCCTGAGCCCTCAAAAGAGCTCCCCTTGGGGGGAAATGGGCAACATCTGTGACAAAAAAGAAAGAGAGAGAAGCCCTCCCCGACCTCTGAGGCACCTCCCTGCCCCTGCCCCTGCCCCTGCCCCTGCCCCTGCCCCTGCCCCTGCCCCCGCCCTTCCCCTCCCTGTCCTGAGCCCCCCAGTTCCCGTCACACCTGGGAAGCCATCGTGGTTGAGGTCCCCGAGGACAGCCAGGCTGATCCCAAACATGGAGTCGGGGGAGCCACAGAGCCGAAGCGGGGAGACCTCAGCCCAGTGACCCCCCTGGTTCATGTACACATACACGGCACCCCCCAGCTCTTCTTGGCGCTCAAAGAAGTAGGGGGCACCCACTACCAGGTCTGCCCAACTACGGAGAAAGAACGGCAGTCAGTGCGGGGTCCTGCCCAGCCAGGAAAGTCAGGAGGAGATGCCCGAGGCCCCTCGGACCTTCCGGACCCAGCTCCCCCGGCTCCACCCCGGGCCGCCCACTCACCCGTCGTTGTTGAGATCAGCCACGGCCAGCGAGTAGCCAAAGCCGGAGGTCAGGCGCTCCCCTGACAGCATAACTTCGGGCACCAGGCGACTGGCACTGTCTTTGCGCAGAATGACCACAGCCCCCTTGTGGTTTGCACGGGGGGCCCCTGCCACGAAGCTCAGTTCCTCGGCACGCACCAGACTCTTCCCCGAATCGATGGAGAAACCTGGGCAGGTGTGGCCTCCCAGTGAGCTCAAGAGCCAGGGCGAGTCACAGCCCCCCACCTCCTCTCCTCACGGGTCTGGAGCCAGAGACGGAGCCCCCCTCCAAGTGACCACCGCCACAGCTGCACTTCTCCGCCCCTCCAGGGGCCTCACAGCCCCCCGCCCACCCAGAGCCTGGAGTTTGGCACAAGAAGTGCAATGAGATCAGCCTCGGGGGCTGGGGAGGAGAGAGGAAGGCCATGGCTGAGAAGCCAGACACTGGGCAGGAGCAAGCCCACCGGCAGGAGCTGGGGCAGGCCCCACCCCTCCGATTCCCAGAGAACTCCTCTGCCCTCTGCACGCCCAGGGGGCCCCATCCTGTCCAGTGCACCTTCTGCGCCCCCACTCCCACCATCCTGGCGGGGAGCGAAGTCTTCACATGGAGGCGGGAGACAAGGGGAGTGGGGAAGAGCTTGATCCACCCCAGTATCTCCCAGGCCTCCTTTCCTCCTTCTCTGCCGTGGGATGCAGATGAGACAATGAGAGCGACGTACCAACACGGCGAGACTTTTCTGCACACACACACTCACACTCACAAACCCCTATGCAGACTTTTGTCCACCACCCATCCCTGAGAAAATGTCCCCCTGGAGGTCTAGCCTCCTTCCTTCCCACATGGTATCCACCCACCTCGTAGGTTCTTCTCACCCCCACCCCTGCCTATGAAGACCCCTGTTCACGGCCCCTTGGGTTGTCCCCCATGGGGCCTCTTCTTCTTGGGCCTGGTCACTGGGCCCAGCTTGTCTCTGAAATTTGGGCCCAACATGTATTTCCCTGGGTGTGTGTTGGGGGAGGGAGGGGAAGCCAGGCCAAGCCCCCAGGGCCCAGGAGGACGTGGGTGGGCGCTTACAAACCTAAGTAGCTATTCAGGGCCAAGTCTCCGGCTGGTCCTGGGAGCCGGTCAGCGGGGTCCAAAGTTTTATACACCAGCTGGTCGGGGTCTGAGCTATCAATGTTGGTCACAAAGAGCAACCCTGTGGGGGCCGGGGGGGGGGGGGGACAGGGAGAGACACCGGGGAAGGGACATCCAGAAGACGGGCCACGCAGTGGAGAAACAGAGCCAGACACAGGCAAGAAGGAGACGAGGAAAAGGCGGAGAAAGAATACGAGAGAGACAAAGAGGCCAATGGGATGAGAATAGAGAAACGAAGACAGAGATAGAGACGGACAGAGACAGGAGGGTGGGAGCGTGGAGAGGGAGGACAAGAGAGAGGAGCAGAGGGTTAGAGAGGCTCTGGGCCAGGAGGGGTCCCTACCAAAGTAGCTGTTGGCAGGGACCGGGATGAGGCGGGGGTCCTGCTCCTTCTCACCCCCCGCCTCGTAGGGCCCGTCGTCCAGGTGGGCCAGGTCCGCTGAGCCCTGCGCACAGAGCTCCACCCTGGCAGTGCCTGCAAGGACAGACCCGTTAGTGCCAGGGCAGGAGCCCCCTTTCGGCCAGATGCTAGTGAGACAGCCACACAAGGAAGCCCCTCCTCTCCTTTCCAGCACCACCTCCCCTCCCCCCCAAGCGTCTGGGGTCCCACAGACTTGACACACACTCACCGAGTGTCAGCTCAGCCAGCGGCAGCGTGCGGAGACGGGCATGGGAGTGATGAGGTGTGGGCTGGTGTGGTGGTAAGGAGGACCAGCCGTGCGTGTGGGCTCATGCCAGCGTGTTGAGGAACACTCGGCCATGCGAAGGAGAGGAGATACCTCCATTCGTGTGTGTGCTGGCATGATAGGGGTGGAAGGCGTGGCAGTGCCCGGGGCTACATGGCAGTGAACATGTGGGCATGCTTGGCCACGTGCTGCCCGCAATCCCCTCTCTGAGCTAAGAGGACGGTTTGGTTCCCTTCTCCCCTCCTGGAGGAGTGACTCACCCTTCCAGTTATAGGTTCCTGGGGCCCCAAAGAGGAGGTAGTGGCTGTCAGGGGAGAAGGCAGCGGCTGCGCCCTGCTGGCAGAACCCAAATTGATCGTGGCCCTGGGGGCGCCCCTCACAGAACTTCCACTCGCCACCATCCAACTCATCGCGGACGGCCAGGTCCTGGCTTAGCACAAAGCAGCGACCGATCACGTCCCTCGTCTCCAGGATTTGGTCCACTCGCTGCCTGGCCTCATATCTGTGTGCACAGGTCTGCAGGAGGAAGGAGGCAGGGGCCGTTCCCCTGAGTGGGCCCGGGGCCTGCTTCAGCCACGCTGCCCACATGCAGACACTAGGCAGATGCTGGCTCATGTGCACGTACCACACACACACTCACAAACCCCTGTGCGGGCACCACTTGAGCACCACCGGCCCAGTGTTACCATGACCCACTGTCCCATCGGCACCCACTCCCTTGCCCTGGGCACCCACAGGCATGACTAAGCCAGAACACAGGCCTCGTGGCTTCGTGATTTCACCCAACGTGCCAAGTCTGACCCTGTCTCTGGCCCTTGGTGACATCACCTCGTCTTCCTCCCCGCTCCACTCTCCAAGTGTCAGTTATTCTTGAAAGCCTGGCTCAGATCGCCCCATCTGCAGGAGTCCTTTCTCTCCACGCCTTCAGACTTCGATCATCTGGGGACTATACGCTCACTTAACATTAACCGTGCTCGGCCCCATACTGACTTGTATTCATAACTGTGGCCCTGGAGCATCCCATGCGCTGAAAGGCTGCCGGCTGGATTCCCTGTCAGGGCACATGCCCGGGGTTGCAGGCTCGATCCCCAATAGGGGGTGTGCAGGAGGCAGCTAACTGATGTTTTGCTCTCACATTGGTGTTTTTCTCTCTCCCTCTCCCTTCCCCTCTCTCTAAAAATCAATTTTTAAAAGTCTTTGAATAATAATTGTGTATTTGTGCATGTTAGTAATGACACAGAGAGAGACAGAGAAGGAGAGGATGAGAATCTCCATAAATGCAGTAGCTATTTGAGGCATGGACCAAGCTTTTCCCTGTCTTTACCTAGCCTCTCCCAGTAGCGAGCACAATGCCTGATGCTTAACAAGTTCTCAGTAAGCGTTTGACAGATGGATGAATGGATGAAATGTTTAGATGGTTTAAATGTATAAGGACAGGGGCCATGTCTTATACTTTTTTTATATCTCCTTGAGGTCCTGGAAATCAGACCATCATACAAATGCCCAACCTGTGTTCTGTAAGCACATCTATGCATGCACGCGTGTGCGCGCGGTTACCGAAGTGGTACTCACAACAATCTTGCCCCCAGGACCCTGGCTCCGAACACTAACTCCCAACCACTGGTTCTCCTTGCTCTCCTTCTGCACATCAGCTGGAGGCAGGACACTGGGAATTAGGGGAGGGAAGAGGAGGCCAAGTCCTCTCCTCCCCTCTTCATGTGCACCCCCCACTCCACTCCCACAGCGCACATACCTCCCTGGTCAATGTCCACTCTGTAGCAGTCAGTCTCCTCCAGGCTCAAGGGGCAAGCGAAGAGGCCTCCAGTGCGGTTCGCCTGCTGCCCAGGCAGAGCCAGGGCCTGGGGAGCGCCCACCAGCAGCCTGTGCCATGGGGCAGGGGCAGGAGTGAGCAGCCAGAATGCTCCCCCTCCACAGAGCTGCCCTGGCCCAAACCCTCAGTACCCAGCAGAGTGTCAAAGGACTAAGAACAAAGGCCAAAAGGCAATTTCCCAAGTCCTGACCAGGGCAGGTTAACATACTTGGCCATGTAATCATCATGTTACATATGCACATACTATCTGGATGAAGAACCACATGCACAGTAGATACACACACACACACACACACACACACACACACACTCACACTCACAGCAACCCGACAGCCTGGCCAGCACTGCTGGTTTGAAAGAACCGCCTGTTTCCAGCACCTGTTCCTGACCAGGCCTTTCCTACCCACTCCCTGGCCCCATTCCCAAGCTCTGCCCTCCTCCCCAGTCCCGTTGAAACCTTCCCAGAAATGCCGAGAATGCTGGGCGCAAGCGTAATAGAGGCCCAGACTGGCACCATGAGATGGCCCAGGGATCAGGTTTGGAGGCCAAGCAAGAGGCTAGACATGGGCCTACTTCCCCCACCCTTTCATCAGGGACCCGCCAAAGACCCCACCCCGCAACCCTGCCAGCCCAGGGTTCTACAGTCACTCCGGCCGGCAGGCAGCAAGGTGGAGGCAAATTTCTCATCTGGTCTCCAATCTTCCCTCCATTCTCCCCCCACTTCCTGAAACCCCTTTCCCAGCCTTCCTTCTCCTCCCACAGCTATGATTTTCCCATTCCTCCCACCCACCCCACTCCCTCCCGGCCCCTCCCAGGCTTCTCTCCTACCCCCCCCCCCCCAGACACTTTCCCAGCTACAACTTTCTTGGCAGGACAATTTTCCACAATCACAGCCAAGGCTTCTTCCCTGGGAGAGGACTGTGCTGGGAATGGAGGCTGCCTGGGTCCCTTGGGGCTGAATCCCCAGGCCAGGAGTACGGGAGAGGAGTGAGTGACTGTCACCCAGCTGACTACGATCCTCTTTCGAGAAGGAGCGACTGGAAAGTGGCAGCAGGGCAACCCTGGAGGCCTCTCTCCCACGCCGTTTCCCTCCATCCCCCTTCCCGGGGGGAGGCCCAAAGCTGTGTGGGGCAGCGCCGCAGGCAGGCATCTGTGGGGCACCGTGCCATTTCTGATGGTGCAGGGGGAGAGGAGGGCACAGAGCCATCTCCCTTCCCACAACTCCTCCTGGGCTCTGCCCAGCTGTCATCCCGTGTCAGAGCCAGTGTCAAGAGGCAGAAGGGGGTGGGGATGGAGTAGCAGTAGGGAAGAGAGCATGGCATGCGTTCGGCGTTGGTTAACAACTATTTTTTGAAAATCTATCTGCCAAGCCCTGCGTCGGGCACTGGTGAGACAAGGAAATCATATTTATTCGGCACCTACTCTGGGTCAGGCTCTAGGCTCAATGCCAGGGACATGAGGAACTAGCATGTATCGCTCTCTACCTAGGTGCCGGGGCTGGGCAAGTCCCAGGCATTATCTCATTTAATCTCCCCCACCACCCACGTGAGGGTCCTTTCTGGGCGTTAGAGGAGGACACTCGCGCAGAGACGCTCGGTAGTGTGCTGGGCTCCATGCACGTGGGCCCAGCTCCAACGCCACGCCCTTCCCACCACACTCAGGGACAGGCCCGCGCCGAACAGGGACCCCTCCGGAAAGGGAGGAGGAGGAAAGGGAGGGAAGAGGACCCCTGAGCAAAAAAAAGCAACTGAGTGGCATGGCCAACCTTCAGACAAGTTGCAGGAATCCTGACTCGTCTCCCACACAGAGGCAGCCGCCTCTGAGAGGAGGGGTTTCCTGCTCGTCTCTGCACTCGCCCCCTAGGAGGCCGGCACCTCAGACGGTCAGCGCACAGCTAAGCACCGGGAGGGGCTAACGGTCAGTGTTCAGTGTTCACATCTCCTCTGGAGGTCAAGAAGAGAGAGGAGGGCGGAGGGGAGGGGGTCTACTGGGAGAAGAGGAGTCAAGCACATGAATCCAGCCAGCCCCACCCTTGGCCAACAGACCAGCCCATCCTCCTGGAACAAGAGTTCCCACACACAGCCTCTGGTCCCTCCACCTCTGCCCCAGCCGCACACTCCTTCCTGGCTTCCTCCCACGATCCCCAGATACCCCGGGCCTCTGGGCAGAACAGTAGCCACAGCTGCAGCCACTACAGAGAGAAAAGCAAAGGCATGTTGGCAGCTGGGGCAGCGGGACTCCCTGGGATCTGAGCTTAGCGGGGGTGAACGAGAAGCCCAGGACCACTGCACCTCTTGGTTCTCCACAGCCCCAGGCTCTCACCCACGCCCAGCCCTCTCTGACTCTCAGTCTGGGTGGCCCTCTGCAGAGGGTGCTGGGCCTGAAGGCTGGCCAAGCCTTTGGATCTGGGCTTGCTGTAAGGTGCTAAAGCTATTCTCTAACTCTGTGCATCCCAACACAGGAGTTATTCTATTGGAACAGTCCTGCACTGTTCTAAGCTTTTTACGTGCTGGGAAAGGAGACCTGGGACTCAAAAGCTAGGGATGAGCAAGGGACTTGGTCTCTCATGGGCCAACAGGCAGCAGAGCGCCCCCTGCTGGAGCAAAATGCCCGTTAGCCAGTCCCCCTATGGGAATGCCCTCCGCTGGACTCTGGGAGACAGAGTCAGGGGCCACCTTTAGAGATGAGGGGGAAATGACAAGAGACCAAGCTATTAAAAATAACCTAGAATTTGTCTGGAAATAGCTCGGAGAGTTCAGCATGTCCTAAAAAGGCCTCCAGCTCTGGAACTCTGGCAGATGGGAGAAGGAGGGAGGAAGACAGATGAGGGAGGAAGCAGACAGAAGGCTGAAGAAGAGGTGAAATCAGTTGCTTTCTATCTCTCCCAAACTTTTCTTTTTTTGGGGGGGGGGCAGGGGGGGCACTGACCCTGCTCCCTGATGACGGGGATAATGGAAGAAGAAGGATCAGAGCTGGCCCCTCCTCCCAGCACAGGGAAAGCGAAATGAGCTCCTGTCCCTACCCTCTGCCCCCAGGCCAACGGTTGGGGGAGAAGACAGTCCCTGTGGAGGGCATTGATCCCAGTAATGGACACTTAGTGTGGCTCAGGCTGGCCTAGAAGAGAAAAGCCCCGGCAGGAGGGGGTGGGAAGCTCTCTGCCCCTCCCCATCTCTCTTTTTAAAATCATACATGTAGCTGGAGCGAGTAGTACAGGAAGCATGACAGTCACAGGCCTCATACACAAGTGTCCTTCCTCCGTGGGTCCTGAACTGATTAGAAAGTACCCAGAATCGCCCTCTGCCCCTCACTCCTCCCTGCCTTCCCCGCTGCTGAGATGCCTGGGCTGGAAATGTCCTGAGGGGGAGGAAGGGCAACAGCCTGGCCAGCATCCTTCCTCTCTCTCTCTCTCCTGCTATTGCTGCTGCTACAACTTTGGGGGCTCTGTTTTCTGCCCCTCTATCACTGAGGCGCCTGGAGCAGGCTGCCAGACCCTGTGGTCCTCTCCCAGCTTCCCCAGGTCTCGCCATACGAGTGGCAGGTCTGCCCTGGCCTCCCAGTGCCCCGCTGCCCTGACTCCATCCCATGGCAATGCCCTGGTTCCATCCCATGGCAATGCTCTGACTCCATCCCATGGCAATGCCCTGACTCCATCCCATGGCAATGCGCTGGTTCCATCCCATGGCAATGCCCTGACTCCATCCCATGGCAATGCCCTGACTCTATCCCATGACAATGCCCTGACTCCATCCCATGGCAATGCCCTGGTTCCATCCCATGGCAATGCCCTGGTTCCATCCCATGGCAATGCCCTGCAGGAAGTTGCTTCTGGAGTCTCCCCTCTACCCCTCCCATGGCACCTTTGGCCTCTCTGTCCTCTCCCCCTTTTCCTGTGCTAAGAAGAGACAACATGCTCAGTCCCCTCCCTCAGGGGATCCGAGCCTCTGAAGAAGGAGGGGAGCCACACACCTTGGGATGCAAAGGGGTGGGGGCAAACGGAGACGGTCCCTGCCCAGACCAGAACCTTGCTCGCCAGCGCATCCCCAAAGCAAGAGCCCGCGCCTGGGGCTGAGGACAGCCCTGCAGACCCGAGGCCGCCGAGGCGCGGCTCCAGCCCGGGTGCAGGAGAGCTGTGGGCAGCCGGGTCTTGGCGGGGTTCGAAGACCGAGCGATGAAGCAGGAGCGGGGGTCTGGGGCTCGGCACGGGGACCGCGGGCGGCGCGGTGACTCACCAGCTCTGGGGCCGGGGCTGTAGCTGCCGGTGCAGGGCCACCGAGAAGCCGAAGAGGCTCCCCGGCTCGCCCTCCTTGCGCAGCGCGCCCATCACATCCAGATTGAAGGCGACGACCCCGGGGGAGAGCAATCCGGCGAGCAGGGTGCCCAGAAGGTAACAAATCCCCGCGGGGCCCCGAGGATCGCGGCCCGGAGTCCCCGCCATGGGGGCACCCCTCGCGCGCTCCCCGCGAGCGCAAGGAAACTCGCTCGCGCTGA